CATGGTCTCATTTTATTTAATTTTTAATTTTTAAATATATTTGTATTGATTTCAGAGAAGAAGGGATAGGAGAGATAGAAACATCAATGATGAGAGAGAATCATTGATTAGCTGACTTCTGCACACTCCCCCACTGGGGACTGAGCCCACAACTTAGGAATCAAACCATGACCTCCTGTTCATAGGTTGACACTCAACAACAGAGCCACACAAGCCAGGCTATGGTCTAATTTGAAAGATAACATTACTGAGTGTTAAAGCCACTGAGAGCTTGGTAGGCCCAACATCCTAGAGACAAAGGAAGGTATCACAATTGAGGTACTGCTTGGTGTAGATCGTACTTAGGTAGACATATGTGGAAACTTAAGTGTACATTGAATGGTACTGGGAGTATTGGTCATGAAATCCATTGCTCCCTGCTGCCCATCCCCTACACTCCAGAAAAAGGGAGTAATATAATTAAGCTGTGTAATAGGGCACTAACTCAGTGGGGTGTAGTTTGGGTTCAGAGAGATAGCTAGTCCTCAAGAAAAAGTAGGTGATAGAGTAAATGTGTAGCGATGTTCAGGTGTTATACCACAGTTCTTATAATTTTTGGACAGTTATTATATCTTAAAGATAGCCTATCTGTTAAAAAGTATATGTTATTATTCAACACATTTCAAACGCTTGACCAATTTCATCCTGTCTGGATAAGTTTCAAGAGTCAAAGTTCTGGATATAAGCATTTCTTTTTCTTCAATGAGATTCAGGATTCCTTAAATTCTTCTGCTTTTATTTCAGACCTAAATTGTTTTAGATGTGCATTTATTTTGTCTGCTGGTAAGCACAAATTTCCTCTTTCTTCTTCCTCATAGGCTTATTTGTCTGATGACCACTAGTTCTGGAAAACTATTAAACATTCTTCTTTTGCTCGATGTCTATTAACAAGTTATATAAAAATGGCAAAAAACAGCATGGGGTCTAGAGTTAGACAGTCTGAAATGGAGTCCCTCCATCCCAAATTTCCTAGATTTTGGCCTTAGGAAATCCATTTAATCTATGTTTCGATTTCCTCACCTATAAAACTAGGGTAACTATCCCTTTCATAAGATCATCCTTAGTCTTCAGTGAGCTAACATAAACCAAGCTTTATAGCACAATGTCTGACACAAAGCAAAGGCTCAAAAAAACTAGTTTTTCTCATATTGTTCTTTGTAAAATAAACTATATTTTTAAACTTAGATTTACAGAAATATTGAAGATAACAGTTTTCATATATCTACTTGCCCCTATTAAACATTACAATATGATTATCTGTTATAATAAATGAACCAATATTGATACATTATTATTAGCTAAGATCCATATTTTATTCAGATTTCCTTAATTTTTATTTAATGTCCTTTTTCTGTTCCAGGACCCCATCCAGGACACCACATTGCATTTAGTCCTACTGAATGTGAGAATTTTTCAGACTTGTCTTGATTTTGATGACCTGGGCAGTTTTGAGGAGTACTTGTCAGGCATTTTGCAGAATGTTCCTTTACTGTGATTTGTCAGATGTTTGCTCATAATTAGACTAGGGCTATGGGTTTTTGAGAGAAAGACCAAAGAAGTTCAATGTTCCTACATTATATCAAAGGCACATACTATCAATATGACCCATCACTGTTGATGTTGACCTTGATTACCTGGCTGAGATAATGTTTGTCACATTTCTTCACTGTAAAGTTCCTCTTTACTCCCCTTTCTATACTGTATGCTTTGGAAAAAAGTCACTATGTGCAGCCCATACTTAAGGAATTATTTTCCATGGGAGACTTGTCTTTTCTCTATGTATTTATTAAAATTGTCTTTTTATAGCTTTACATAAGGGGGTCCAGATAAGCAAAGGTGGACCACATTTCAATTTAACATGAAATGGGTGAATAGATGAGATATACAGTTATTCAAAGAACCCCCCATTTCCTATGTTATCAGAAGATGAGTTAGCAAGTGACCTACTTGTCAACATTAGATGGAGAGATTGAAGATGCTGATATACCCTTGGGAAGGTCATAATTAGCTCAAGAACTAAGGTAGGTGAATGTGGGTTTAAGGTCTATTAGCTGTCCAGTCTAGGGAGTGGCAAAGAGGCTGAAGTGGGCCTGATAATCTTAGGTTGGTAGACAGAGGAAGTTATCCATGTGATCACTCAAAAAGTTAGTGTCAATGAGAATGTTCTGGAGCACACACACAGAGGTGATGCTTATTTTTACTTTTTAAAATTATTTATTGATTTTTAGAGAGAGAGTAAGGGAGGGAGGGAAGGAGTGGGATAGAGACAGAGAGGTAGATGAGAGAGAGAGAGAGAGAGAGAGAGAGAGAGAGAGAGAGAGAGAGAGAAATATCGATTGATTCTTATATGTACCCTGGCAGTGATTGAACCCACAACCTTGTTGAATAGGGATGACACTCTGACCAACTGAGCTGCTCAGCCAGGGTGGTTACTCTTATTTTAGAAATGATGTAATTATGTGTATAACTAATCTCTCTAAGCTTGAAATTATGGACAATAAGATGCAGGTTTTCTTATAAAGAAAGGAAAATGTAATGCATAAAGTACTCTCCATATTTTCTAATGTATACCTGTTGAATTACTAGCTGATGAAAATAAAATTTGAATA